GACGTTAGCCATTGAGTCTAGACATTCTGCCAGCAAATAATGACGACGATTTTCTAATTGCGATTCCCTTGTTGCCTTATCATTCTTACTAGGTGCATCCCCTTATCACCCTAAGCTTGCAATATAGTCAATACTATGTAAAAAGATCTATCTATCCAGAGATATTTTTTAAATATTTATGTATGTAAATTCTTTCGACGAATTATTAAGTAAAATAAGATGAAAGATTACGAAAAGCTATACACCTACTCGCTTCGGTCGTGCGACGAACACTGAGCTGAGCGCGTTCCGTACGGAATTTACGTATGTGTATTGCGACTCGTACAAAATCTATGGAAAACGTGCGTACGGAGCGAATTTTTTCCGTTCGGGATCACGAACGCACAGGCGGTCATACGGAATCTCGAATCGGAGAAATTCCGTACGGAAAAATAACGTACGTGTGTGGCGGGTCATAGATTTTATATGGACTTGCTGCGTTCGGAATCCCGAACCCAGCAAGTCCATATAAAATCTATGGCCCGTCACACACGTACGGTACTTTTCCGTTCGAAATTTTGCGGGCAAAACGGGATTCCGTATGTTTGTGGCCGATCCGTTCGGAATTCCGAAACGGAATCTCGAAACGGAATTCCGTATGTATATGGCGAGCCTAAAGGTTATCGAAGAGTAATGGCATATTTATGTTAATTATTAGTTTATAGCAATAAATGATTAGCTTTAACAATAAGTCTAGTCCACGAGTGTCCTTATAGACATAGTTGAAGGACTTAATTCCAGAAAGACTTGATTTTAACTACTATATTTAAAAGTTATCGTAAATTGCGCCGGATTTTGGCCAATTACATACTTATATTCAAAAATGTGTAGTTTCCAAGCGTGTGTTGTATTGAAATATTTTGCCGTTTGTGGAAATTCAATAATTATCTAAATATTTTTGTTTACAGGAGGACGAGTATGAAGCCCGCGTGGGCGCCCGATTCCCCATAAAGTGGACTGCGCCAGAGGCAGCTAATTACAGCAAATTCAGCATTAAGTCCGACGTTTGGTCCTTTGGCATACTGCTCACCGAACTCGTCACATATGGGCGGATACCTTACCCAGGTCAGTTCCTATAAATATGAGATTTATATATTCTTATTGTGTAAACGGCTGTTCGCATTATTGAATGACCAGTATGAATGCGGCTAGTTTAGTTTACTATATACTCGATAGTAGAAGACGAAAAGAATTATCAGCAGCACTTGCATTATTATTACTGTGTAGTATTATTGTATAGATCCCATATTAATATGGGGCTTATAACAAAAAATAATGGAATATTGGGTTTGTGATTGTGTGTGAAAAGGACTAACCACCTATTACTTCTTTCACAATTTTCCACCTTCACCTACATTTTTAGGTAAACGTGTTCAGTGGCACACCGCTATTTGAACTCTGCCAGTCTGCCTATACGTCACACCTGTAATCCCTTTCGAGGATTACAGGCGTGACATCGGGGATAACGTCACGTGAAGTTACATGAGAAAAATTTGCGTGCTCAAGATTTAGTTTTAGTTTTTTTGCTGCATTATAGTTTTTGTACTAGGAAATTCCATATTTGGTCTGAAAATAATTGGCACTAAGCCCAATACTTATTTTCACTTTTACCTTAAGGTATAATTATGTTAATAATTATTATTTTTCTAAATGTCATGTTTCAACAAAAACAAACGTTTATAACATTTGACTTGTCACTACAGCCTACAAGTCCTCTGCTGAACAAGTCCCCCCCCCCCCCCCCCAACCCCCAAATTGCCACAAAGTACGGTCCTCAGGTACCTGCAACCATCGACTATATGCATTTTTCATCTGGTAGTCACACCATCTATTTCAGTTTCTTTTGTTCTTCTTGATTAAGAGACTACGAATATAATAATCTTGCAATATTAAAATAAATAGTGTTTAAAAAAGAGAATATTCTTATGGGAAATTCCAATCAATATAAAAATAAACCTGTTTGTTGCTGTTCCTACAGTAATTGTTTAATGGAATTATACGCGACGTTGCACTTGCAACTTGCAACCCTATATTACACACAGTGATCAAGTTTCTCCACAACTCGGCAGGACGGTAACCGAACCATTAAAATTATTGCTGGTGACGATGTTTAATCAGCATTATTTACTATTTATAAATAATTTATAGTTCGAAATGGAATGAAACTCCTCACGTTTTATTACGTTGTCGAACTGCGTCATTTTCCACTAAATATTTGCTAATATAAAATAACCTCGTGCCTCAGTGTTACTATGCGAATGAAACTTTTTTATCATATTATATGTATATAAAATTATTTAGTTTTATATAAACCCCGTGTTAACAGAAAAGTATTGGAAGGTAAATAATCTCTCAAGAAATTAATACATATATACTAGAGTTAATTTTAGGGTTCTTTTACCCAAAGGATAAAACGGATACCTATTAGACACTCTGCTGTCTGTTTGTCTGTCCGTTTGTATGTCACGAATCTCTAGCTCGTATACTGAACGAGTTTACATACTGGTACAGGAAATTTGGATACTTGGGTAAGAACGTTGACCCAAAATCGGATATTGAATTAGAAATTCAATTAAATTATTTTTAAGTGGGTATCAATACTTAAAAAAAATATTTCTTACCCTAGCATGTGAGTAATATATTTTATATTCGTTTTTCTTTTACGTGGTAGAGCCACGCTGCAGCTATATCATTGTTGTAGCACGATTCTATCGGCTCGGCCGGGGAAGGACCACGCTCTTACCAGCGTTAAATAGCAACTTAATACTGTTGTGTTTCGTATTATGCTGTGTGTAGAGAACCGGAGACACTTGACTGAAAACGAGGCATAATATCTCAAAAACTAATTTCGTTAGAAATTTGAATTTATTGTATATTATGCATTATATATACTGTATTTAACGTGGAAGCACCAGGGTAGCCCGCGAAATTCAAATTTTCTTATGTTTTTTGCAATTTGCAGGTCAGTGTCAGGTTATATGTTTAACAAAATATGATTCGCGACCGTAACGAGTATGTATTTACATAATTATAATCATTATAATCATCAATACAACCGTCTATGTTTGTGTAATTCCAATGTATGGCTATTTCCAGAAAAACTCATTCAAAGGGATTATATAAACTTAGAGGGTCGTATTGATGATTTTAATGATAATAATTCTATAAACACATACTCGTTACGGTCGCGAATCATATTTTATTAAACATTCAACCTGACCCTGACCTGCAAATTCCAAAAAACGCAAGAAAAGTTGAATTTCGCGGGCCACCCCGGAGCTTTCACCTTACGAGGGCTGCACTAAAAGTATCGGGAATGGAATATTTCCACTGTTCCTGTCATATTAATTTTTTTTCTTAATTAAAAAGTCCTTGGTTTTAAAAATCGAATACCATTTATTTATTTAAAAAAAGATTCTCGGTCTTGTCACAAGGTTTTGTCAAACTTGTTTAGTCGTTAAGAAAATGGAATTGACTCGAGAAAATTCAAGAGCGATGATTTATTATGACTTTCGAAGTGGTTTAACACAAAAACAGTGTGTTGACCGGATGATTTCTGCATTTGGTGATGAAGCCCCATCCAAAACCACAATTTATCGCTGGTTTGTTGAATTTCAACGTGGACGTGTCAAACTCAGTGATGATCCCCGTCAAGGTCGTCCAAAAACTGCAGTCACCCAAGAAAACGTTGATGCTGTGCGTAAGCTGATTGAGGAATATCGACATGTGACATACCGCGAAATTCAGGCAACTTTAGACATTGGCATGAGTCAAATACAAATAATCTGGCATGAACAATTAGGTGTAAAAAGTTGTTTTCCCGATGGATACCGCATTCGCTCTGTGAAGAGCAAAAAGCGGCTCGCGTTACTTGGTGCGTCAGAACTCTCGAAAGATTCCACGCAGGATCCTCAAATGCTGTATACAACATCGTATTAGGTGACGAATCCTGGATATACGCGTACGAACCCGAAACAAAAAACCAGTCACGAGTTTGGGTGTTCGAAAATGAGTTAAAGCCAACAAAAATTGTTCGCTCACGGAGCGTTGCAAAAAAAAATGGTGGCCACGTTTGTCTCCAAAACCGGCCATGTTACGACTATTCCTCTTGAGGGACAAAGAACGGTTAATGCAGAATGGTATGCTAGCATTAGTTTGCCACTGGTCGTTTCTGAACTCCGTAAAGAGAACTGCAACCGCAATGCGAAATCCTCCATCACGACAATGCGAGTTCTCACACCGCACACAGAACAAAAGAGTTTTTAGAGCAAGAAAACATAGAGTTATTAGACCATCCGCCGTACAGCCCCGACCTAAGCCCTAATGATTTCTATACTTTCCCTAAAAGAAAGAATAAATTGCGTGGACAGAGATTTTCATCACCTGAAGAAGCTGTGGACACCTACAAAACGGCCATTTTGGAGACCCCAACTTCCGAATGGAATGGTTGCTTCAATGATTGGTTCCATCGTATGGAAAAATGTGTCAAATTTCGCAGAGAATACTTCGAAAAGCAATAAATACATTTTTAAATAGTAATGTTGTGTCACTTCCTTGATTCCCGAAATTTTCAGTGCCGCCCTCGTAAACAACAAATACTGTAAACATCGATTCATAACGTAGTTTGTAAGCTGTCAACATAACTTTTTTTTGGAAAAAAGTTAATTGGTTTTAATATGAACAGAACCCTAATAGAGCGATGTCTGACTCACACTAGACAGGTTTTTACTTTTCGACTTACTTCACTGTGTTTAAAAAGGAAAGTTAGGTAATCTTCAGGATATTTAGAGAAACATTTAGAAAAAGGCATTGTGCGATAAAAGCTTTATTCACTACTGTGAAATACTACACGTATTCACTCACTTAATATTGTTTATTTATACTATTTCATAAGATCCATTCATAGAATCTAAAATCGATAGTCACGAACGGTTTGATGATTCATTTTACTGTTGTGTAACTATAAGAAACGTGATAACATAATCTCGGTGTCGTGTCGGAGGAAAATTGATTTATTATTTTGCGAATATTACTTTATTAATATGTCTTCTTTACCGATTCAGTTCAATACCGAAGACGGGTTTCGCCCACTGTAAATTATATTCCAAATTGCAGTACTACACGTCTCTCACGTTTGGTGCTGCTTCTCGTCGACGGCTTCTCTCTGGTCATAATCGTGGTTGGCATCGATTACAACCCAAAGTAAAAATATAAATCGATGAATGAATTACACCTGTTACCCAGAGTGTAGGAAGGGTAGTCTGACTACTCCTCTTTTGTATAAATATCTTGTTTTAGGTTACATAATGTTGTCCTAATGAGAAACATAATATAGTTACTGAATGGTTTCTATCAGTTACACAATAGTTCTGCAGATGTCAAAAACCAGTAACTTGTTTGTGTGTGTATTTTATATGTCAATACTTATATTGATAGATAGTTTTAAAAGCAAGGAACATGTTGCGTTGCAGGTATGACGAACGCGGAGGTGCTGCACCAGGTGGAGCACGGGTACCGCATGCCGTGCCCGCAGAACTGCCCCGCCGCGCTCTACGAGATCATGCTGGAGTGCTGGCACAAGGACCCGCTCAAGCGGCCCACGTTCGAGACGCTGCAGTGGAAGCTGGAGGACTTCTTCACCATGGACAACTCGGAGTACAAGGAGGCCTCCGCCTACTGAGCCCGGCCCTCCCTGCCGCCTCACCGACACGCGCACGCGCACCACGTGAGTCATCCACTTGCCACCACTCTACTTGCCCTCACACATGTTCCTCCGTAGGTTAAGTTCATATAGCGAGTAGATAATGTCAAAGCGAACGAACCACATTCGAGCTACTGAACTTTCCGAAATATGCATACCTAATCCAAACTGTACTTTATTCGAAGCGTTTGTCATTCACCTTGGCCGCTAGGAAATCTCCCCTTTACAATTTACAGTCGGTAAATTTATTTAGTATTGTGTATTAGTAATTTATCATCATAATCTTATTCATAACCAGTCACAAGTCCATTTCTCCCCAGGCCCATTATATTTATTTTTATAGGAGAGGGGGCAAACGAGCATGCGGCTCACCTGATGGTAAGTGACTACCGCCGCCCATGAACAACTGCAACACCAGGGGAATTACAGATGCGTTACCAGCATTTTAAAAAGGATTAGGCTCTTTTCTTGAAGATAAACACTTCAATTTGTGCAAGTAGATATTAATGCACTTGGTCGAATACTACGAATTATTCTATTATTTATACAGTTTTTATATCCAACAATACTTAGTTAAAACTAATTTTCTGTTAAGATTTTTGATTTATTTTTACTGGATTATTTTTTGAGAGTATGTCCATTTCTTTGGCACAGTCTGGTAACCTAAACAGCTTGATGTTACATTTATGACATTTTTTTTTCAGTAAACTTTTTAATGCAGTCTGTTTTTAATTACGGTTTTAACCATTAAGCTTGTTATTTGAATACTTTCTTAATAAGAAGTATATAATTCCAGACGCCTGGCCTGTACCACATGCCGCCCGAGCTACAAATGCTGCACAGCAGTGCCTCCATGCAGCACCTGCAGATGCACCAGCTGGCCGCGCACCAGGCCAGCCTCACGCACATGCAGGCGCACCAGCTGCAGCCGCTCCCGCCCTTGACTCAGATTCAGCCGCATCCGGCACTGACCCAGATCCAGCCGCATCCGGCTCTCAGCCAGATACAGTCGCATCCGGCTCTTAGTCAGATACAGTCGCATCCGGCTCTAAGTCAATTGCAGGCGCATCCGGGTCTGAGCCAGATCCAGGCGCACCCGGGTCTCTCCCAGATCCAGGCGCATCCAGGTTTGAGCCAGGTACAAGCGCATCACACGGGAATCGTGCCGACGAGGCCACGCCCACTATGCCACCATCACGCGCCACGACACGCAACATAACTACTGTTACATGATATAGTGCCGTATGTACACTGTAATATTTTGCCATACGAGAGAACGTAGGTACACATATATTACTAGTTGCTTTGAAAGTACGTACGGCACTAAGCGGACGGCGCTGAGCCGTCACACCACGCGCCCTCACCAAATCGTCACATCACCCAAACACCATCAGCAATACAAATATACACATTTGTATGAGAAATACTTCACTGTAGGCGAATGTAAACGGTTCGAAATGTTAAGAAATAGGTTTTCTAAGCTAAAGTGCAATAGTCACAACATTATAAGTAGCAAACCGTTAATAATCGTCTTTGCTAAGTATTCCAATCCAATAGCACAGCAACGCCGACACCTTCCGAGCCCTATGTACACCCACAGGCTGTGTTCACATGGATATGCAATGAACAATACAAATAATAGTTGAATATAAGAAAAATATTCATTTATAAATAAAAACCAGTGGATTAATATCGGTTTATGGCCGATTCAAGGAGAATAAAATTGTACGTGAACAACGCCTCCCGTCTATCGACGCAGGGAATTGTGTAACTCGGGAGAATCACTCTGCAACTTTTTTATGATAGAATATTGTAACTTAAAATAAGATATTAATATGAATGACATTATAATCGATACTGCTACATTTACACAATTCAACAAAACCAAACATCAAACGTTACCAGATTGCCACGACACCCAATCAGAGTTACACAATCGCACTGCAGTTTGTGACGACTTTATTTTTATTTATACCCACTAAAATCGACAAACAATACTAACTCGAGTTACAAGTATTACCACCTGAAATATATATTTCTCGAGAAATTAATATGTAATGGTACTTGTAAGATTTAGAAATATTTTGAAGTCGATTTAATTCATATTGTTTACTGCCCGATACGATACGAAATTAATATTAGGATCGAGAGAAATTACGTAGTAAAAAACAAAGCGATACTATTTTGCGAAGACTATACGGCGACGTGACGTAAATTTATTGACCTTTGATCCGTTCGTTAGATCTTGATATTTTTTCCTAATGTATTTTAGTGTATGTGTAACCAAGGTTAAACAAGACAAGTTTTGATGTATTTAAAATACAATTACGAAAGTTTACAGCTATTTTAGATTATTAATGCTTTTCATGCGCTAAACCAAAGCGATGCAATTTTTTTCTTTTATCTATTCGCAATGTCAGTAAGCACTTACCTAATAATTTTTAACATTATTTGCTTCTTTGCAGTATTAGCATTTCGTGTTCAGCTTATTTCAAACAAATGCATTATGCTATAAGGTTCCGAGGCTATTTTTGTATTGTAACGAATTGGTTTCAGTTCCATTAAGTTGGAATGTAAGGGCGCTGTGGTGTAACTTGCCAGCTCGTGTGTGTGTGTGTTTTAGTGTCGAGACGATTGTGGCTTACACCTTGCGGAATGCGAATGTGTGCGTGATACGGAGGAAATTTAGGTTCGGCAGGGATCATTTTGTCGTTATTAACGACTAGTAAAGATTTACTTTAGACGAGGCCCCATTCCGATAGGTAATTTCACCTACGTATACCATGTTTAAATGTAGACTATTGGTGATAGATGCCAAATAATCCTAACAAAGAACTGAATTTTATATACATATTAACTGTTCTGAGGGTATTTAGACTTTAGGTCTTTATTTATGTAATTTAAATGCAATTAGCTTTTTTAAATGCTATTTCATTAAGTCATATTATTTATATACATTAATAAGTAAATTCTTTTATTTAAATTTTTAATCTCTCGCAAATTGAGTTTCCTATATATATATCATTATCTTAACTTACACTAATGCTCAAGTTTTAGGAACTTTTATTGTGTTTACGTAACAATACAAGTTCGAAATGATATTTAATTTGTGCCAAGAGTTTAGTTTAAGCAAAAGTTATTGTTGTCAGAAAAGTTATTTAACATCTGATACAAGTATCTATGTATTTTATTAGTTTCTTACTTCAAATACAAGTAAGATATAATTGGCCTAAGTAAGTATCAATGTGTAGGTTTTATATCCTAACATTTAAGAATTAACTTAGCTAAATGTCAAATCGATAGAGAAATGATGATTCATTTTAATTGCATGGATAATGATGGATATTGAAAATGTAAGTATATGAAGTGCAATATTGTTTACAACACCGGTGCTTAGTTTATAATTTTACTCTACGTGACAAATGTCACGGGGAACTGAATATGTTGCAGAAAAACACATTAAATATGTACATCCTCAGAACATTTAAAGAATATTAGTTTATATTATATTATATGAAAGAAAACATAACGAATTTTGACGGTAAATCAAACAATATTGTTATTGATATGAACAGTGTAAGTTTTGTTTGTGATCTTTTTACCATCATACGTTGTATATAGATAGTACCGAAAGTAGATTTGGATATGAATGATTCTAGAATGTTGTTAACAATATTAAAGCGTGCTACAAACTGTGTTCTCTGACTTAATCATTCCATCGCAACCAGTAGCTTAAACAATATTTGTCAGTGTTGTTAGACATTACTAAAATAATGTTTTTTATCGTTGTACGGTAAGATTGAACCAATTCGCACAAACACGTTTTATATTGACTTTTTCGTAAGGTGCCTGATAAATTTTTATGTCACAAATTCACCTGTCACCTTTGACTTGTTCGTGCTGTTTGCTTGTTGATATATAATGACAATATTTTTGCTTTTAATCAGAATTATACTATTTAGTTTATAACTTTTACTAAATGAAAGGCAGGCTTTCACTATATTTTCTCAAAGGGTAGATTTGAAATAGTAATAATTGAAATTTCTTGTATGAACGAGTCGTAGGAATTTATTTTTATAGTACACTGTGGATAGAGCACTTTTTGTATATGAATGGACATTGGATATAGGAGGAGTAATGTCAGCTCATTGTTTTATTAAAAAAGCATCTGGTAATTTGAAAATATCAGAGAGTTTAAATAATTCGATATTATTACTAAAATTAACATAGACGAGTCCCAAAACAATTTACTCCTGTATTATTTTTATAATTTATTTAGTAGATTTATTTGTTTGTAAGTTATAGCTGTATAAAATATGCTTTAAAGCTTCATGCTTCATCGCAGTAATTAAGTTTCGCTACTTCTGTCTTACATGGCAATAATATAATTGTATTTGTATTTTATTGATTATTAGTTAGCCAATTTTTAAGAATTTTTGTATACAAGGCGCCATCACAATTATTATGGAAATGATCAATCGTAATACATAGATTAAGATTTGCGAATGAATGTTAGGCATATTTAACTAGAAGTTATTTAGTAATTGTTGCTGTGTTACATGACATTTATGCGTTATGGTTTACAGTACTGTACAGCTGTAGCAAGATTAATTGATCGGTGGTTAGAGAATGAAATAAAATCACGTGCGACTGAAGTTAGTTGATACTGTAATGTGTGGGCTAAGGTCTTATTACCTCCGAGTATCAATTAAATCTATTTTAAGTTTCTTGTAAGCCAATGTTACACTGTCATAATCGCCGTAGATATTATGATCGCACATTTATCTTCTTACACTTTCTTAAATGTCTGAAGGATGATAGTGTAACATTGGCCTTATATTATACGGTTATGATTTATTATTATTACACACTTGTAAATTTTTTTAACACAACAATAAATTTTAATGTGAAAATTCGGTCGTTTTATTAAAGCATCATTAGATAATTTACAATATTTTTTGTGAGTTGAAATATTTTATTCTATAAAATTTCGTGGGATAATCATTGCTTTTAACTAGAACAAAGTGAAATGGAAAGGAGACAGTAGTGAGTACTACTGTAAAAAATGACTACGTCATATAATGTTATCGTCTCAAAACTTAGTCGGTTTTCCGTTTTCATTTATCATTTCAAATACCCAAATAATATATTAATTTGACTACAAGAAACTATGACACTTACTGGTATTCCTATGTAACTTCTAGCACAGCCTTAGAAAAACATACAGTCTATTTAAATAAAACTAGTTTTACGGATTTTATCGCGTATATAAACTTATTTTATATTCTCGATGTTTCGAGTACTTTACAGCGCCCATGGTCACGAGGGGGACTGCAGTGTATGACGTCCCAATGTCATAGTTAACCACGGCTACCTCCAGATTAAAAATTATTAATTTTTGTTCCGATCTACGCAGTATGAACTTACAGTATCTTGAAGTCTTGCAGTTGTATGCTTGGGTTGGGATATTATTTTATTAATTATGGGATCCCAAGCAGATGGTATCACCCAACCATCTTCTGTATTGAAATTAGGGTGTTTTTTGATTTCAATAGACTCGCGAATTATCCTTTGAAGGAATCGGTGTTCTTTAGCGAGGATTTGTGGTCTATCAAATCTAATGTAGTGACGGGGGCGATCCTGTCCGTGTTCACAGGCTGCAGACTTCCCGGAGCGTCGATTCTTCACATCAGCTATGTGTTCTTTAACGCGGGTTTTTATGGATCTTTTAGTTTGTCCTATATAAGAGAGACCACATTCACAATCAAGCTTGTACACACCTGCATCTTGCAGAGGGGCATTACCATGAAGCAAATACAAAGAGAAGACTGCATAAGCAACTGTGCACTGTGATTCTAAGTAGGTCCTGATGTCATCATAGTGGGCGTGGCTTTAGTTAGTATACTGTCAGCATTCGTCCTGTGCGCTTATGTGTTGAAAATCGCAAATCGGTGTATTCTCGTAGTATTAAGAAGAAAAGGATGAAATGTTGTGTTTTATCCTATAAAAACTACTCAGATAGAAGCTCTGATGCTATGGATGGCATCACATTTCATATGTAAGTAATTTTACACCTAATATATTAAAATAGTTCTAGAAAAATCTGCGTCGTCTGAAATTTGTTTTGCATTCAGACATAAAGAAATTTTAATCGCCAAAATATTATTTTTATAGTTTATAATAATTTTGTGAACAGGCCGCCATCTATCTTCAAGGTAGCTAAACTACATTGCAACATCGATATGGAACGATTCGAGTAGTTTTACTATTTATCGGTAGATGTATAAGTGTAAAGTGGGCGGGGCTTAACATCCCCTCACCCCGCTAATTGTCACGCGTTGTTACATAGTGAAATATAATTACAACAGCTCCTCTTTGGATTTGCTTCATGGACATTACACTTGAGTGATGGTAAAAACTGACTATTCTTCGGCGGATTGAAGTATGTTTTAATGGAAGCACGCTTCAAGATGTAGCCAATCTTGTATAAGTATATTTATATATAAATCCTGGATGCTTTTAGCGAAACAAAATATTGAAATAAAAGTCTGTGATTTTAAAAATAATAATAATAATATCTTACCTTGGTCAACTATGTATCAAATTTGTTTTTTTTTTTATAGAAATAGGGTGACAAACGAGCACACAGTCCACCTGATGGTAAGTGGTTGCTGTGTGCATATACATCTATCCCGTTTGCTAATCAAAATGCAGATGTGTTGTCAGCCTTGAGGACTAAGATGGAATGCCTCTTTTCCAGTAAAAAGGGTCTCCGTTTCTCTACACTCACCATACGTTATAACAGTGGTAGAGCCACGCGGCAGCTTTTGCTGTCGCACGGATAGGCCGGCTCGAACCGGGGTGGTACCACATCCTCACAGAAAACCAGCGTGAAGTAGAGGTTTGCCTCTGCGTTTCGCTTGGTGAGTGCAGGTGGCCGGAGGCCCTTTTTACTGGAAATGAGGCATTCAATCTTAGTCCTCACGGGTGACAACGCATCTACATTTTGATTTGTAATAGAGGATAGATGTAGATGTCTATGGGCCGCAGCAACCACTTACCATCAGTTGGACTGTGTGCTCGTTTGTCACCCTTATCCTATTAAAAAAAAATACGAAACACAGCAGCATTAAGCTGGTATTCTGTGAGAGCGTGGTCCTTCCCCGGTCGAGTCGACCCATTCGTGCTACATCTATACTATAAATATATCTGCAGCATGGCTCTCTACCACTTAAAAAGGTTTTTGGAATATTTTGTATTTCTACGGCGATCGATATTTTTCTGCACGAGCCGCTGTAACAAACGACCACTCACGACGGCATTTGAACCCGGAGTAAATAAAGTACTCTGTGGCTGTGGCTCGGAGTGCAGCTAAGCTAAGTAATTAATACAAGGCTCTCAAACCACCGAAAATTTCGCCATATCTTAGCCGAAAAAAATTAATTATAACTAAACAAAATTAAACTGCCATTCCATGGCTACATGATAGATGAAGAGTTTTAATAATAGATTGAGTTGAATAAATGATATTTTCAAAAGTTATCGTCTTTACGCTGGACTTGATAAATCCACATCATAAGACACTTTTTTTTAAGTAAAAATAGTAATTAATCGATTTAAAAAAATATTAATAAGTTCAACAATCATTTATCTTTCTGACAATTTGCTTTTTATATCGTTTATATATATATATATATATATATATATATATATATAATATGATTGCTAGATACGATTTCGTGCGACAAAACGTTGGAATCTTAATTTTTAGGCCCTAGCAGAACATACCTGCGCGCTTCGCGCTTAAGACATACAATAGTTGTAGAATCTCTGCGTCGGCTTCCAAATATAATTAAATATATTTGACACTAGATGGCGACACTTTGCGTAATGGGGACTAAAAATATAAAGGTACGTAGAGCTCAGTGGTAAAATAATCATACGAAGGTGCTGAAATTAGTTTAGCATTCAGTCCTAAAGAATTTTTAATCGCCAAAATATTATTCTTATAGTTTTTATAATCATTTTGTGAACAGGCCGCTATCTATCGTCAAGGTACCTAAACTATATTGCAACATCGTTATGGAACGATTCGAGTAGTTTTACTATTTATCGGTAGATGGAAAATAGTTAATTGGGCGGGGCTTAACACCCCCTCACTCCTCAAATTGTCATGCGTTGTTACATAGTGAAATCTAATTACAACACCTCCTCTTTCTATTTGCTCCATAGTTAAGACTGTGCTTCTAGTTGCGATTTGACAGCCCGTAAAATTATTTCCATTAACATTAGCAGCATCACGACAGCACAGCGGGGTAACATATCAGTCAAGAGTTATTAGTATAATTTAAAATTAAAAATTTTGTACAACCGACTTTAATATATTATTAAGGATGACTGAAAAACTATTTGTCATACCTTGATCAAATTTATATGGGACCACATGAGAGGCACCATCTTTCAAATAAAAAAGAACCATCGAAATCGGTTTACGTAGAACAAAGTTAGTTAACACGCGAGGTAACACGCATAAAAAAAACATACAGTCGAATTGAGTACCACCTCCTTTTTGAAGTCGGTAGAAAAACAAAGTTTTAAAAAAACTTCACAAAATTGTATTTCCCAAACGCTCATATACTACTTTTATACGTTTTCTACATTCATTAGAAATGTCTTCAATCCGAGACAGCAACAAGGAGTCATATTCAAGTCTTTTTACTATTGCTTCCATTTCACTAGAGTCTAATTTAGCCTTTTTACTTGGTGGTTCTTCTGAATCACTTTCACCGTCAAACAGAGTGTCTATGTCCAATTCGAAATTAGTCTGTGTTTTTGTTTCCTTTATAGAAGTTTCAAGCTCAATTTTATTTTCTACGCACTTATGAATAAATGAACAATCATTGTATAACATTGACTGCTTCTTTCGTTCTATTAGATTTATATTATTTGTATTTAACATATGATGCCATTCCTCTTGCAAGTCAGGGTATTTAATAATTATTTTCAAAACGAAAGTGTCGAAGTTTTTCAGGTGCCTATATTTAACTAATTCACTAAATGTGTAATGTTTTATAATGGGCATGGTTTCCAAAAGCAAATATTTGAATGTTTCATTTATAATATAATCAATTGATATATCATTATCATCCACAAATAGATAAAGTGATATTTTGCAAAATGTAGAAATCAGAATTAGTGATATTTCACTATTTCCTATTAATATTAAATTCGTTATGACGCGAAACACCTGAAATAAAAATAAAATAAAAATGAAAGTGAATCCAATTTCTTTTATCAGATATTATCAGAAAATTACTGTTTAAATTTAAATTTTTAATCATCAATCAATGATATAATATGTAAGTTGCTGGCCCTATGGACCACCTTCCATCAGCTGGACAGTAAGTACTCGTTTTTCAACTTTTTTGTGCCAGCAGATATCCAGGTCTAATTAGAACAGTATTACCACAGCGGTGACACTTTCTGTACGTGAGAATTTAAGCTCCGGTGACATTGGCTTCATTAGGCCGGAGCGTGTAACGCTAAGGTTGATACCGAACCGAAATGGAATATTATATATATATATATATATATATATAGACTTGTGCCAAAGAAGATACATAGTAGGTATATGTTATATAATGTAAACGTATGTATTTAGATGTCTTTACAGATGGGGAAAATTAAAATTTACGACAAAACAAAATATGCACGACAGTTAATGGTAATCTTAAATAATAATTAACCAACAGTTAGTATTTCAGTACGCAATAATCTGTATTACCCTTTAAAAATTACGTACTCTTATATATTTTTGGCTTTTTCGATGACTTTTATAATTTTTATTATTATTTCTAACTATTGAAAAAATTCGTAGACATATGTATATTTTTTTTAGAAAATCCATAGGGAAGCATAGATAGATAACACTTAATTGTACGCCAAAAAATAACATAAATACTAACGCAAAATGTGAAAAATAAATGTGGTACAATGGGTGGTCTTATCGCTAAGAGCGATCTCTTCCAGACAACCTTTGGATGGACAGGATTGCAAGAAAACAATAAAAACGTGTGTGGTCTGGCGACAAAAATAACATTATTTTTATTAAAGCCATAAAAAAGAAATATAGAATGGTGTATAAGTACATAGATCAGATAAATACATGCATATTAATATATATATATATATATATATATATATATATATATATATATATATATATATATATATATATAATGAATAATATATGAATATATATATATATATATATATATATATATATATATATATATATATATTCATTTTGATTTGAAATGTAATTTTTATTATACAACTGTTTGTTGTCCTTAATAAAAAATATAAATATATATTTTTATAAATATAAATATATAAAATTACAAATATATAGTTTAAAACTATTACATATAACATATATGTGCCATACATATAAATAAATATTGTAACTGAATAAAGGTAGAATAATTATATATGAATAGGAATTATTTTTGTATAAAGCGCAGCCCTCAGCCAGGGCAGTCGGTGACGGCCCGTTCCACGCCCCGCGCGGCTCTCAAGGCGCCCGCACACATCCAGACACTCACACATAGCCGCAAGTGATTTTACGTGCACACATGCTTAAGTGTCGTTTCTTTTCGCGTGGTGTATATATTCTTTGGTATACTGCAACCAGTATAATATATTGTGTTCACTGCTATGGTTAACTTCATTCCTAAGCCCTACATTTTCAAAAAGGAGTTACTTAGCTGTAAGCATTTTCACTTCTGGTCAAAGTACGTAGAATCCCAGATGAGTGTAACGTTTGCGCATTAAGGGTCCGCGAATGCTTAGGTGCTTGTTCCGTTAAGGTATAGAATCGGCACAACCTTGATTTGTCTAGTCTCAAGATACCCATGTGCTTTTTTAAACAGCAATTTCCAATCAGGGCTCTTGCCAAAATACGCATTTTGTTCTAACCTAATCCCACGGCTTCTTAGTTGTATTTACGATAGTATGGCCTGTATATATGGAATAAGGTTTATGAATATTTTAAGCCTGGTGTATCAGTACCAGGCCCCGAGTGATTTTTTGTAGTTAAAAGGATTTGTAGAAATTTGGGACAGGCTATTTGTTATTTCAAAAAATGGCTCGAGTCCAAATTGTGTGCTGTTTGACCCCTCCTATGTGAGCTTGTTCATTGCTTACAATACCTGCATGACCTGGAACATATCTCAAAACGACCCTGTTGTTACAGATGACTGTTGTTACACCCCAGGGCGTTTAAACAATTCACGCAGTCTCCCAGTTCCAATACCGAGTTGTAAGAGCACAATAGTTGTACACTTTTTGCTGCCAAACCGAAATGGATTCATCGATTTAACAATTTACATAAAAATATAATATATTATTTTATTGAATGTTTAAAACTTTAAATTTATTTATTAAGAAACATATATCGTTTTCTTCAAATTACCCACCTGTACCACATTTTCGAAATAGTAAAATTGATCAATAACACGTGTGGTCAATGAATTTAGAGCTTCCACATATTCAAAATAGCACCGAGTCTCTGGACCAATGTTTGTAGGCAGTGGAAGTAGATTTTTTGGGCAGACCTTAATCCAAGCTTTTACCAAATTTTTTTCAACAGCAGAATTCAATTCCATGATTGAGCAAGTGGATGAAAGTTTCATAATTTTAATCTGTAAAAACATATCATTCATTGCAACTTCTGAACTTCTCCGCCGCGATTACATAAAAGTATGACAAAACTAAAGTTTGGCCAGTGACACTCGATAAATAATCTTATATTCTATTCTTTTATTATAAATTTGTAAATGAAATAAAAACACTATTTTCAACGTAAATAAAAATTTCATTTGATAAAGTATTTTTTTTTAAGTTACTGTACCTACAGCTTATTTAAAGTCACATTAAAAACTTCATCGCAAATTTTCCCACACTTTGGAATGTATTTTTATTTATCCAAATATATAATAAATGGCTATAAATAAATTTAAAAAGTATAATCTATTAAATTTAAAAAAAGGAATTATTCTTATCAGTTCACAATTCACATTGACGAAGATAATGAGTAATATTCAAACAAAAAAAAAGATAGAATCGATTTGAACCTTGGAATATAAAAGCAAGAGGAAGTAGCAAAACGCATCATTTGTAGAGGAACCGCTGTCGCCAAACTCACACATACGCAAGAAAGAAATGTGTACCGACAATTATTGTGTACTATTTCAATAATTTTCGCGTGTTTGGCTATTAAAAAAATAAAAGAGAAAGGCATTATGTCACTCACCATTCACTTGAGGACGAACCATAAGTCCTTGAAAAAAGAGATCATATTACTTTTCGTCAACGAATTTTCTAGAATTAATGAGCAAATTTAGCTTCAGAACGCTAGATGTCGCAATAATACATTCACACTCTTATAGACACAATGCTAATAGATATAACGTTGACATTGCCCTAACTAACCTGTACTGCTACGTGAATGATGTTAGTGACGTAAATTACTCTCCCTGAACGTTATCTGACTTATATCGATATTCATTATATTTAAGATTATTATCATGTGCATACATATATGAATTGAATTGACCGAAGAAACTTAATATAAAAAAAAAATGAGTAAAATAGCAAAATTTATTGGAAATTGCCTTGATGTACTGACTGACTACTACGTATATCTCCGTAATTCATATAGCAGGCATATAGTTAATTGTCTTTAATGGAAATTTATTGACAGTTAGCTAAATTATCATTTATGAAATGGAAACAAGTAAAACAATAATTTTCAAATTGTTTATTGTCATTGAAATAACACATATTTGTTAAAAATTATCGTTTCCACACATTAATATTAAATTTTAGATGATAATGAATGCATTTACTAATGTAGATCATGATATTAAGATCACTTTTATTTTAGCTTCTTTCCAAAAGTAATACTAAGTACTACTCTGTATAGAACAGTTACTATACTTTTTGGTACTACTAAACTACTTATACTTACTTCTCTGGCTTACCCTATAAATGAATATTTCGTAGGGTTGCTAACCCTAACAAATGTTCATTCATATGGTATCACCCTATAATTTCGTATATTTCCATAGACATCCAGTATTTGCAAATTTTCATTAATATGTTAGTGAATGAACAGGATTGTGATAAAATTTTATCGAAAACTTTAATATCAGCGTAGTCACAACAATATCCCAGCTATTTTTATTCAAAATTTATTTACAGATGAACCTTAGTTTAATGAAATAAGGTTGAATATTACTTGTAATAAAGGCAATTTGACATTTTGTCTATGTTTAGTCAAGTTTCTATCCAAAAAAGGAAAAATTTACAGGTGCCTTTGGTACGAAACACCTCCATTCAAAATATTTTTCTTTTTACTTTCGTTTTTACACTAAAATTTTGCACAAAACAGCATATGTTTGCATATATCACCTAAGCAGTGATCCTTCAGCTCGCAACAATTTGAGCCTGCAACTCGCCAGTCAATTACGCTCTACTGTCACTAATTGTGACACACCTGCCACGCCCACATTGGGCTTCCTCTTGTTTTTAATATTCCGTGATTTGAACCTTTGCTAATAATAGATTATATTAATAAAAAAAAAGTAATCGGCTGAACTTTTACCTTTTTTACAAAGATAGCACATGTTTTTGCAAACACAAAAAACATTACATAGACATATGTATAATATATGTACTTATATAAAACCCACTTATGTTTTCAATTTTTATAATGAAAAGGAAAAGTAATCTTAAAAATAAATAAGAATGTTTATTTCCTATAAAATACTCACTAATTCTTCCATATCTTTTTCACTATCAATGTTAGCAATGTCCAATTTATTGAAATTTAACAAAAGCTTTTGTAGCACAGTCTCCTCAACTGCAATTCGTTCATTTGCAGGTAACGTTTTTATGTTTAAAACACTCCATAGACTATAACAACGCTTATCATAGATATTAAACTGTTCCATAAACAAAACTCTGTCTTCATTGGGTAAGATTTCAAATAATCGATTAATTGTGTGTCCTAAATGAATTTTTTGAGGGTAGTTGTGAAATGAAGCGTTTGCTTCTAGCTTCTGATACATTTTACAAAGTAAACTTACAGTGGCCATTGTGTACTGACGGCTTCCAACACTAGAAAAAGAAATCATATTATCAAAAATATTTAACTAGTGGATATACCATCTATATCCACCTATAAAAAAAAAATCAACAAGCTTGGAAGTCGACTTTTTAAAATGGTTATTCCACCATTTTTCGCGTGCCGTAATTTTTATCTATAATTTGTTTACTATTACCACACCAACAAGTAAGAATTCAAGGCTTAAATTATTTTATCTTTCTAAAAAAATATTCAAGAAGGAAAAGTTGTTCATTGGTTTTTCGTCTTTTCCTTCTTCATCAGCCCGTAAAGCTCCACAGCCGAAAATGGACCTCACCCGTTTTAAGGCCGATTTGAACAGACGTCCCGCTGATTAACGCTGCTTCCCGCCGCCGGTCTAAATATGTCACACGTGACGTAAGCGAGATCATTATACTGCCAACAATTGGAAGCCACGAAATCTTTTTGGAATTTTCTATATTAGACTTTTACTACAAAATGGGGTGATGGATGTCGTTACAAGGCCAGATCAAATCTATCAAATTAAATTTTCACTCGTTCGTTACAGCTTTCGAAATTAGACTTCTCCCATAGATTGTTTTATATTCGCCATAGTTGTTTATATTTGCCAAGGCAGGGGAGTTGTTGAGATAAGTTATTACAACTCGAAAGTAAGATAAGATATTACCACTCACCTGGCTAATAACACCCACAAACTAGAAGAGAACAAAGCACTACAACATTGATTTCCTAACACAGCCTCAAACATATGGTGCTCTACAACAGACAATTCCTCAGAGCTCAACGTCATACACAATGCTAGCATGTGCGTTAGCAAATATTCTTCTAATTCGAATGTTTCTTCCTCTTTATTTCTAATTTTTAGTCCTAAATTAAACCATACATGACCTGAAATAAATTTCATTATTATATTTCATCAGCGCTAGTTTATTGGGTAAATGGCCACTCACATTTGCTAGGTACTCCCCGATCATAGTCCTCTCCACAGCGTATGATCGGGGTCTTTCTCCGTGATGGGAAACCATAACAGGATTGTCCAAGTAGAAATATAATCACATGATTTGTAGTATCGTTTGAGATTAAGGTATTCGCCAACCTTCAACATCAGACAGTTTCTGGGGACGGTCTTTAGGACGTAGGTGCAATTTTTTTAAATTCTACAATCATTTAATGGACATTTACCGCTTAACGTATGTCAGTCCCATCATACCCTAACCTACATCACTAACTTATATAACGTTAATTATTATTATACTACGTGCGCCGTGGATTCGAACAGAACTTTCGCATCGTCGCCATATGGTCGCCATTATGATATTTACCTACGTCAATTCTGTTCAAATTCAAGGCCCTTATTAAATTACTTCTAACAGACTCAAATCGAACGCATTCCATCAACAATCTTTAGGACGTAGGTGACATTGACATGCACACCTAACTTTACTTGGATTCTTATATGCAATCTATGAGTACATGCTTGCACTGTACAAATGATATATATCTTATTTGTTAGTCATTGTCACCATCTTTTAAACGATCAACTGCCAAACACATCCCTCACCTACAGAGGAGTGGTCCGCGGTCGCAGTAAAAATTAAAAGTACTTACTGTATGGCACTATACTAAAAACGCAGCCAATTATTTCACATTTAGCTACAGCCGAAAACTGATCCTGAGTAAATTGCAGAATGAACTTTATAGCGGATATTAGGAGAAAAATATATCCAGGTTGTTTATCTTCTTCAATTTTCTTAAGGTCACGTTGAGAAAGACACTAAAACAACAAATTGCAGTGCAATAGAATCCATCTCGTATATAATATAATCTATAACCTCGAAAACTTAAGGATATGTAATTCATAAATCAGGCGGTACTTTATGAAAATCCATTACCTATATGTGTAATAGGAATGTTTCAATATTGGTAAAATTAATAAATTATTATTTACTTACATCAAATAACTTGATTTTGTGTACGTAAAACATTTGTTTTAAAGTAATTTTTGCAAAAAAAATTTAAATCGCTTCATATAACAAATGTTAATTAAGGTCACGTTTGAAATACCTACTCAAGTATTTGTTCTTATTTTCAGTATCAATACTAAATATCCCAGTAAAAATCAAACCAAAACACAAGTTGGTGTACAATGTACTATATCAATATAACTAATAGAATCAGGCGTTACTTTGCGGAAATCCATTATATAAAAGCTTTTACAAAAATTTACTTCGCAAATATCCGCGTTATAAAATAAAATGATGTGTCTTACCTGGTGTTGGAAGTAGCGGTGCTGGGATTAGTGGTGACGGGGATAGTGCACGCAATTGAGGGAGGGCGGGAGGTGCTTCTTCATACTAGGTAAGACACATCATTTTATTTTATAACGCGGACGCGGATATTTGCGAAGTAAATTTTTGTAAAAGCTTTTTTATACTATATCAATGTTTCTGACACTGCATCTTAGCCTGGCACTGATCTTATTGCATACAGCCGGCACAAACAAGCTTAGAACGATAAGCTCTGTGGTACCAACATTAGTAGCATTTTAATATCTCATCGGCAGTTGACAGACTTTTAATAATTAGCCAGAAACAAATCATCATCATTACCTTTAAACACATTAACTAAATCAAAATGTTGGGTTTTCGACAATGCTAATCAATATAGAAAAATTTGGCTTGGTCCCCAAGATACAGACAATGCCTCGTTTGGGGTCCGCCAATAATTACATTTAAATGTAATTAAAATTTAACATAATTTAATATAAGTAACTATTCTTTATTTTCAGCTCTGTAGCTCTATTTTAGGAATATATTATTTATATTTAGAACCTACAACATTATTTCACAGCCTGGCCCTTATTTCAATGTCCATGACTTACGCTTACAAATCTCTCGTTTGTCAGCAATTGCGACAATAGAGTACCAGTCGGACCCAAGAGGAGCATATTGACTTGGCTTATAAATTGCTGCGTCTTATTCAACCTTCCCTCAAGGATAGAACCATCACACCTGAAACCAAACAAAATATTAATTTAAATTAATAATGGGTGAGGGTGCAATTTGATCGTCATCATCATCATCCCATTTAATAAGTAATTGTAGGTTCAAATGACAACTTAATGAAGTATTCATTTTGCAATTAAGTATTAAAAGAAATTGTTTTATAGACAAAATCGGTGTGAAGGAGCTGTCGTCTAGCCACAGCGTAAACGAACAAAAGCCTGAATCAAGCACATACTAAATGTTCCGAACGACTCTGCATATATAGAACAAGATCACACAGAGCGTTACCCGCTGGCCGGAATGAATATCATGCGTTTCTTTCCACGGCCAAACCCTTATGTCTTGTCGAGGTACTAGAGACGGATAAATTAGCTTACGTAAAAGAACTTCGGACGTACACACAGACGCACATACACTCACTTACTCGTGCGCACACACACACACGTGCGCGAACACACTCACTCACTCGTGCACGCACTCACAATACGAGCCGTTTGGACTATGTATTAAGTCCTAATGGAGAGAAAGTTATAAAGGACCTCAAACAGAGATGATCGTGGGCAACAGTAACTTTTTTTTATAGGATAGGGTGACAAACGAGCACACAGTGCACCTGATTGTAAGTGGTATCTGTGGCCCATAGACATCTACATTTATCCTCGTTTGCGAATCAAAATGCAGAAGCGTTGTCACCCGTGAGGACTAAGATGAAATGCCTCTTTTCCAGTAAAAAGGGTCTCCGGTTCTCTACACTCACCATACGAAACACAGCAGCATAAAAGCTGCTATTTTACGCTGGTATTCTGTGAGAGCGTGGTCCTTCCCCGGTCGAGCTGACCCATTCGTGCTACAACTATACCCGAAATATAGCTGCAGCATGGCTCTACCACGTACAAAATTTTATATGTACAAACTTTATATTATTTATACTATTGCAGTATGAATTGAGGTCTGTTATTATACTCTGCATAATTTTCAATTAAGGAACGTGAGACCCTGCTAGTGCTAACGAGACGAGACCACGAAACGATATAGTCAGCTAGCTAGATAGTCGTATAGATTCCGAATTATTTCACGTTTGTGCTTTTTGGAAAGGCATTCCATTGTAGAACTCAAAGGTGCTAAAGCTTTTGGATTTAGATTCCTAATTGAAGATAGATGTAGATTTCTACTTTCTATAACACAGCATCCACTTACCATTTAATGGACTGTGTACTTTGTTACTCTGGCATAAATACATTAAAATATCAATAAAATATATATAATGAAAATCTTGAACTTACGAATAAATGTAAACGAGCAGCTGGAACACATGTTCATAATTATTTGTCACTCCATGTGAGAAAATGTTTGTTACTTTCACTAATATTTTGATGGTGAAGCTGGCGACTTTAAGTGACCGCAAAACAATTTTGTCTTGTTCATCCTTCTGTAACGTATTTTATAAATTGAATAACACATAATACGCATCCTAATTTTTTACCGTATTTGACACTAACCCATATTTTAGTTTTTTATATTGTCCATAAACAAAGTGTTTACTCATCCCCATCATCATTACAGCCCTTCACAAGTCCACTGCTGAACATAGGCCTCCCCCAAGGATGGAGAAATGCCACAAAGCACGTTCCTGAACCACCTGCATCCATCGACTTCCTGCATGTCTCACCAGGTCGTCACTCCATCTAGTGGGGGGTCGCCCTACACTTCCCCTACCGGTACGAGACTGCCACTCGAGAACCTTTCTTCCCCATCGGTTGTCGGTTCTTCGAGCTATATGGCCAGCCCACTGCCACTTCAGTTTACTAATCCGTTGGGCTATGTCGGTTACTCTGGTTCTACTGCGGATATCCTCATTTCTAAGTTTATCACGCAGAGACACCCCGAGCATAGCCCTCTCCATAGCTCGCTGAGCGACCTTGAGCTTCCTCATACGGCCAGCAGTGAAGGACCACGTCTCAGATCCGTAAGTCATCACTGGCAACACGCACTGGTTGTACAATTTCGTTTTTAGGTTTTGAGGTATGTCTAACGAGAAGATGTGTCGTAGTTTCCCGAACGCTGCCCAACCGAGTTGAATCCGTCAATTGACCTTTCGGTCGAAGTTGGACTTACTTAGTCGGACTATTTGTCCCAGGTAAACATACTCGTCAACAACTTCGAGCTTAGTGCTCCCAACGGCATAGGTGTGACATGGACGTTAAACACGATTTTTGTTTTGTCCATGTTCATCTAAGACCTATCTGTTGGGAGACACTATTGAGGTCATTGAGCATGATTCTGCCATAAGGACTATATCGTCGGCAAATCGAAGATGAGTGATGTACTCGCCATTGATGTTAATACCGCATCCTTTCCAGTCCAGTAAGCTTGACAACGTCTTCCAATGCAGCGGTGAAGAGTTTCGGGGATATAACGTCACCCTGTCTTACACCTCTCTGCAGTTGGATAGGTTTCGTACTCTGGTTCTGTACTCGGATAGCCATCGTAGCTCTACTGTACAAACACTTCAGCACTTCGATATACCGACAGTCAACTTGGCACCGCTGAAGGGTCTGCAGCACCGCACAAATTTCGACGGAATCAAAGGCTTTCTCATAGTCCACATACGCCAGACATAGTGGCAAATTGTACTCTTCGGACTTCTGTACAATTTCCCGAAGGGTATGTATGTGGTCTATGGTGCTAAAGCCCTTTCGGAAACCGGCTTGTTCGGGAGGCTGGAAGTCGTCAAGTCTGCGCGCGAGACGATTCGTAATGACTCTCGAAAACAGCACGTAGACGCGGCTCAGAAGGGAAATCGGTCTGTAGTTCTTCAAGAGAGCGTTGTCACCTTTCTTGAAGAACAAGACCACCGCACTTCTGCTCCACGCCTCCGGTGTAATGCCACCATGGAAGACGGAATTAAAGCGCTTCTGAAGGACTTCAAGTACCGGTTTTCCACCCGCTTTCAGAAGCTCCGCTGTAATTCCATCCTCGCCTGGGGCCTTGCCGTTTTTAAGGCACTGGAGAGCCATTCTAATCTCGCTCAGACTGACGTCCGGGATATCTTCGGAATAGTGTCGGATAAAACTCGCTCTTGGATCGTTACTCACACTTGCGTGTGGCTCCAACGATGACGTGTACAGCTGCCCATAGAACTTCTCAATCTCACTCAAAATCTCAGGTGTCCCAGAAACGATGCTGCCACACTCGGTCTTCAGCTTTGACAGTTGGCTCTTTCTGGCAGACAGATCTGTGGCAAAGACTTTGGAGCCTTGGTTCCGCTCGATCGCTTTTTCAATACAAGCTGTATTGAAGTTGCGTAAGTCCCGCCGCATACATTTGGAGATCTGTCTGTTCAGTTGCCTGTATGCTGTCAAATCTGTTGAAGAGTGTAGCTTCATCTCCCGTCTAACAGCCATGAGATTAAGAGTGTGATCGGAGAGTTTTTGTGTTCTTCTGCGGCGGGTCTTGCAGAACTTAGCTCCAACCGCATGGACAGTTTCCACGAGCTTGTCATTCATATTGTCCACTTCATTGCAGTCTTCTAGGCACTGAAAACGGTTTTGTAACTCGAGCTGAAAGGTTTCGGGACTTTGGAACAGAGCACGATGGGGACGGAGCGTTGACTTCATTAGAAGAGACCTCTCATACTTAACGTTTAGGTTCAGTGTGCCTGTAACCATTCGGTGATCGCTACCAGTTTACACCCTCGCGATCACGGAAACATCACTGAACAGTTGTCGTCTGGTCTTCATAATGAAGTCAATCTCATTTTTTGTCGAACCGTCGGGGCTCGACCAGGTCCACTTCCTGTGAGGCCGCTTCTGGAAGAAAGAGTTCATCATAAAGAGTCCCTCTTTCTCCGTGAAGTCGGCCAGCTGCTAGCCCCTTGGGTTCCGTTGCCCTATTCCAAATTTCCCTACTTGCAGCTCACCGTTCTCTATTGTGCCTAGTTTTGCATTGAAGTCTCCATTAACACCGTATAGTGGTTTTTGGAGGAATGCATGGCTCTAGAGATATCCCCATACATTTCCTCCACCTCCTGATCGGGGTTTACTCAATTCACTCTAATTTATTATATAAATTACTTGTATTTAAGCGAACGATCATTAGCCTGCAGCAGTCCAAACTGAAATAACAGGCATCTCCCACTTAGCCCTTCACGGATGGCTTCACGCATCCAGTTGCCACCAGCCACCTTACTCAGATTGTCGTTCCATTTAGTCAAGGGCCGTCGCTCATGGCGTTTCCTAAGCAAAATCTTCACTCAATCATACATCTACTCCAATGGTTGTCATTTTGGTTTACAAACAAGAAAGGCTATCTTGGTTTTCCTCCGGATTTCTTCATTACGAATTTTTCCATCAGAGAAAACTCTTTCCATTATGTGTTAAACGACTTTAAACTTGTAGCCTTTTATCAGTGTCCGTGTTTTGGCACTATAGGCAGGATGCACTGGTTGAAGCTTTTCGCCTTCGACTTTTTCGTATACACGACGAGTAACCCTGAAGGAGCTTCCTAAATACTGTTCTGCCTAAATGAATCCTGTCACACTCCTCCCCGAAGTTATTCATAAAAGTTGGCATAACTCTGGGCGCGAAGCTTCAGTGTGGCCCCCAGATATCTTTAATAACAAGCAGATTTAGTTCTGCTACATATATTGAAACAGCTAGATTCGTTTATTTTATTTACTTATATACCATAGCATGTCATACGGAATCTTACTATGGGATAATGCAACTGACATTGTCAATTACAAACTAGTAAACTACGTATGTTTTGCAGAAGAGAGCCGAGTTTCAAATATATATAGTAACCTATGGAGTCTAGTATATTAAAAAAAATGATTATGTAGATCCACAAAAACAAAAATAGTTTTCAATAAAAGTCTTTTAGTGATGTACATTCTGTTAATAGTGGGAACGAGCACAAAACTAGTAAGTTTATTAGGGAATGGGGTGATTATTACCACTCTGCTTCTTATATATAATTCAACTAGCTGGCCAGGCAGACGTCGTACTGCCCTCTCCAACTTTGTCCTATAAAAATCCTTAAATTACCTATAAAAAATATTGAGGGTCACTTAACGGGATAAGAACTATTCTATCTCTCAAGTTGGACCAAACTGCACATCATCATCATCATCATCATCATTACAGCCCTTCACAAGTACACTGCTGAACATAGGCCTCCCCCAAAGAATGCCACAAAGCACGGTCCTGAGCCACCTGCATCCGCTGCATTGGAAGATGTCTTTAAGCTTCTGGACTGGAAAGGATACGGTATCAACATCAATGGCGAGTACATCACTCACCTTCGATTTGCCGACGATATAGTCCTTATGGCAGAATCGCTGGAGGATCTAAGCACTATGCTCAATGACCTCAATAGTGTTTCCCAACGGATAGGTCTTAAGATGAACATGGACAAAACAAAGATCATGTTTAATGTCCATGTCACACCTATGCCGGTAGTTGTTGGGAACACTAAGCTCGAAGTTGTTGACGAGTATGTTTACCTGGGACAAATAGTCCGACTAGGTAAGTCCAACTTCGACCGAGAGGTCAATCAACGGATTCAACTCGGTTGGGCAGCGTTCGGGAAATTACGGCACATCTTCTCGTCAGGTATACCTCAAAACTTGAAAACGAGACTGTACACCCAGTGCGTGTTGCCAGTGATGACATACGGAACTGAGACGTGGTCCTTCACTGCTGGCCGTATGAGGAAGCTCAAGGTCGCTAAGCGAGCTATGGAGAGGGCTATGCTCGGAGTTTCTCTGCGTGATAAACTCAGAAATGAGGATATCTGCAGTAGAACCAGAGTGACCGACATAGCCCAACGGATTAGTAAGCTGAAGTGGCAATGGGCCGGCCATATAGCTCGAAGAACCGACAACCGATGGGTAAGAAAGGTTCTCGAGTGGCAGCCTCATACGGGCAGGCGAAGTGTAGGGCGTCCCCCCACTAGATGGAGTGTCGACCTGGTAAGATATGCAGGAAGTCGATGGATGCAGGTGGCTCAGAAACTGCACACTGTGTGCAAAATTTCATTGTAATCAGTTCAGTAGTTTAAGAGTCCATCGCGGACAAACAATTTGACACGTAATTTTTATATATAAAGATTTTGCAACAAGAATTGTAAAAAGTTGTTAAGAGTGAAAAAACAGATTTCATATAATAAATAAATATCTGGAGTCATGAAGCGATAAATTTCGCAGTAACCGGGATTTAGTACCTGCCAGTACAAATAAAATTGTTAATTCCAATTTTAAGTGTAAATATACCATAAGCTCGGTGTTGACGATGTATTAGAAGTAGACGAGTGGTGGTGGCGTAAGAAAATCCACTGCCCTATATCATCCTATGGGTGTCAATGGAGATGAACAGCAACATCTTCCTGTTCCTGATAACAACTCCAAGTGTGGCAGCCATGACAAATATCTCCCTTTGAGACTAGTAGCTCTATCAGCTATATAAATAGTATAGTTGCCAACCTATTCATTGTTTTGATTCCTAGTTGAGGATGGATGTAGATGTCTTTGGGTCACACCAACTACTTACCATCAGGTGGACTGTGTGCTCATTTGTCACCTATATCCTATAAAATAAAAGAGACAATTTATGAGGAAGACCTATCTTTAGGAGTGAATTAAAGGAACTGATTAAGGTGGATTAATTGATACGTAATTATAAACCATGTAGTGGCATAGAAAGAATATCTAAAACCCCATATCATCCCGTGAGTGCCGTAAGAGGCAACAGTGGGAAACAAAACAGGAGATGGGCAGCAGCATTTTGCTAATAAAAGCAAAATAACTATTAAAGAAATGCTGATGCCAATCCCCTGGCATAATGCGGCAACTATGGCAATATATGACAAGTTCCACTAGATGTAGGAACCTGGTAAGATATGCAGGAAGTCATTGGATGCTGGGTGATGATGTACCATTATAAATATGAATCGGTTGTAAGCCCAAGCTGGTTACAGAAAGCATAGCTCTCATAGACACAAGATGGAAAATCATGTATTGCAATGGTCAATCTGTCAAGCAAATATGGCTGTTTTGGAAAAATCCTGCTTACCATTGTAAAACAGACGGCTCTGTGGCACAGTAGCTTAGCAATGAGTTGATGCGCTGGGGGCCGCGGGTTTGAATCCCGCACGGAACAAGTATTTGTACGGCCTACTAATAATTGTTCCGGGTCTAGATGTTTGCCCTTGTGCTATCTATGTTTGTAAACTGTCTCCACAATACAGGAAAAAATCCTAATGAGGGTAACAATTTAAAAAAAAACACACCGGACAGTGAAATGTTTATGAGTTGGTCAAGAAGAAAGACATACAGACCTCTAATGCAGATGTTATGTTATTTTCAATCATTGCACATAGAAGCTCAGAACTTTTGTTGTAAATATTTTTATCCAAGAGATTATTACAATATTTTTCACATATAGTAGTATAAGCTTTCCACTGCTCAGCCATGGTCTTCACATCCAGTGCTTGAACAATCTCACCTATCTTCAAGTTAATATCTAATGCTACAGAAACACATAGGAATATTCAATATATCTTTTATAATATCACTGTCATTCAATGAATCGGTCAAACAGATCCTTTTTTTTTCTTAGTATAGTGCATCAAAACTTTAAATGAAATTGTTTCCTACTAGAGGTGGCAGGAAGAGAATTCATCACACCATTTATAGGGCACCTATGGCTTATAGAGGCGACTATAGGAAATGTCAAACCTAATATTGCACACCGCACAATATAAGGGAGAGCTCTACTCTATATGTGGCCATACCTCAATTTCGGTACATAAAATTGTACTTATACTCTTGGCTAGATATCAAATCCATATTATTATTAACGTTACAATAACCACAGACATTGAATTTTAAAATTAGTTTATTTTCTAATTGATTCACTTTATCGATATGAATAAACAACAAAAAATGTAATTGAAAAAATATATGGACTGCCGTCCATTGGTCTGTGTGTCGGTGAGTCTTCTCACTTAATAGAAATGTAAGCAATAGATTGAGATATATAGTATTAAATAAGATTCCATGCATTCTAAGGAGGATCTCTATTGATGTTTGTTATTGAACTCAACACCGTTTAAAAGTTCATGAGACGTGCACTTTTGGATTTTCCAAACTATCTTATGGTTTCTTATAGATGGATGGGTAACCATGTCATATAAGTCAGACAAAATACCCAGACCGGTGATGGAGTGCAGCGTTAAAGGTATGTATGAGACATCTGGTAATGCAATTGTCAATCTGTCTGCAAAGCCCATGACCCAGGGAGCCCATGTTCATCAAAATAAAATTTTACAGGTCAATGTAAAAGAAAAAAAAATTAGAAAACTGGAACATCATTATTTTATTTGAATGTTGTTACCATCTGCTAGGTACATTACAATGATAACCAGCATCTGAGGATAGATATGTAAAACAAAACAAACCTTTTGTTTATGAAATGATTGAATAAAAATAATTATATAATACCCTAACAGGTAATATGGAGTTTTTATTACATGGTCTTAATTTATTTATTTTTAATGTTTATTTTAGTATACATTGTTTTAACAACAGATTAAATGATAGAGAAACACATAAATTATAAAGTTTTTCTGATTTTTATGTGAGAAAACAGATATGTAGTATTAAATTGCCCGAATATGAAATTTAAAGCACTTTTGTTTTTTAAAGCAATTTTGCAAAAGCCTGTTAATGTTTTTTCAAATATTCTAAATAAAATTGTATAAATCAAATATTTTAAATAAAATTGATGCACAAAACTTACCTTCTAGAAGAACATTTTGTTGCTCTTTTTCAGTCAGATCAAATATAAAATGTTTTTCCAAAATCATTAAATAAGTTAGTTGTAATTCATGACAAGTACGGAAAAGATCTTTTAGTTGTTTCTCTACTTTATTTAAGTGGGTTCCATATAGGGATTCACTGTAACAAACAAAATAAAGTAAATGAACACTATGCACCGTAAACATGGTTATATTTTTTTAGAATATAATGACAAGCGAGCACACCATCCACCGGATGGTAAGTGCATGAAAACTATGATTGATGGTATTAAATACAGCACTATCCTGCTGTTTCAGAGCATTATTCTGCAGTCAAGCTGACCCTTATGTACTGAAACATAATATAGCTGCTGTATTGCTCTACCACATGAAAATTCTAATAAGGTGAGCAAAGGAAACTAACAAAACCATGGTGTTGCCTTCTGTTATCCCTGAAAATTATAATAATATGCTTCATAAGTAATAATCGGGTCTCAGTATGACTATTATATGCAGTAGTATGATCTAATCTTCTAGAAACCATACTCATTTATAGAAATATTTTTCCTTCATATATTAATGCAAAATTTACTAATATAGCAAATTGTATTTTAAATTAAAAATAACAGCCTACTTCCCACTGCTGAGCACAGTCTCCTCATTCCTGAATGAGTTTTCATACAAGAACCTCCCTAAAACTCTCAAATGCAGTGTAAATACCTCAAATATGTGGTAGGACTAACCATGTTTTCCTTTACCACTTTTCATATGATAAATCGGCACTTCAAATTACAATTGACAATTTTGTTCGATAAACAAAATATAAACATCAAGTTTGGGTAACAATATTTAAAAATGGGATTTTATTAAAATAACATATTTATAAATATTAAACCAAAACTGTACCTACCTGTCTTTACAGTGAGTAAAAACTGTTAATATTATATGTGCTATAGTTGTTGGAAATGTTTTCAAGTTTGAACAAGACATTGCTATAGATTCGGTTATATTTTTTACAAAGTTAGAAAGCATGTGCAGCAGGGAAATTGCATCTTCCATGTAAATACACAGTATTTCCATCTTAATTTCAGCATCTGCTAAAAGTACACCTATTGTGTCCAAACACTAAAAAAAATTCAATCCAAATAAAATATCAGTTCATAATATTAAGTTTCAGAAGGAATGTTCAATACCTATGACTGATTAGTGTATGGGAGGGACAGGGGGAGAAGAACCCTATAGTTTAAGATAAATTTAGATTTACAATACATTAGTAAAAATTTCTTCAGTATCTAACAGAATAAAAAATGAAGGAATTCCAAAAAAAAAACAATAATGAAAATTTTAAGATAGTTAGTTATAAGATTTGAAATAAAGACTTTTATTTGTGTGGTTAAGCATTCAAATACAACAAATGTGTTTTAAATTTAATAACCCTTTTCTCATAACTAGTAATAACCTGAATACTATGTTCATCTGCAAGATAACTAACATAAATATTATATTATAGTTTTCCAATCTACCCATCTTATATATTTTCTGTTATAGATTGGCTGCAGGTCAGTATATTTACCATTATGTTACCTGTGTAATACAATTATAACTATCCTCTAATGATGATGAAAATTCTAAGGAAAATGTTGCTTCCTTTATAATACTTTCAGTCATAAGAAACTTTTTGGTCCGTGCCAACAAATGTTTGTACGATTCATCGTTTACCTGGTAATAAAGAGTTAAAGAAATTATTATATAAGGCTAAATCGTTGTACAACCTATTGTTTATTCTGTGGTACAACACACAGTTGTGTTTTTAAAAGGATACGACGGTGGGGTTATCGTCATAGTTAATGCTATTTTCTAAGAAAATATCAGAACTTTGAGAACTATTCATTTTATACTTATTGTTTGTAACGCTAAAACACGAAAAGATCAATTAATGATCACAAGATTAGGCCGTAAAGCGGTGTTTCTTCGTGACTAGGAATTGAGACGGTACTTTATTAAATCTGTTTATTGTTGAAGCGAAATAACCGTCTAACTTTGAATCTTTGACTTATGTGATAAAATATTAATATCCGATTATTAGATTACAAACAATAATATAAATAGTAATTTTACATAGGAACTATTTCCGCCAAAATATTTTGAAAAGGAGGAGTAGGTATATTAGTTTCTTAGAATTCTTAGATTGACTTTGACATTGACAATTTGACACCATAGATAAACAGGGTTGCCAGCTTTATTTCATACTAGATCATACCATAAACTGGAAAAGAAGGTATTTTGCAAGAATTAAAAAAAAAAGATAGTAGGCATCAATATTTCAATAAAACAATGTTAAAAATACAAAAATATTATTATTATAACGTTTAAGCAAAATTTTACATTAAGGGTATAACCATACCCTAAATGTAAAATTTTAACGCATGACGTAAATTAAACTCGAAGAAAAGCGGTTAAACTGCGGGGGGAATCACTTAATCGGCGGAAAGTTGATGAGTTGATGAGTTGATTGTCGAAATAGTATGATACCAAAAACTAATAAGAAGTACCAGTAAGCTGCGTATTTCTAAAGTGCGAGTGGGATAAAAAGTTTAAAAATTTTTTGGACGTATCCAGTCCATAAAGAAATGCAAAGAAAAGTTTAGAGCTCGTTCAATTTTGATGTTATTTGTATTTAATATAGATAAAATGACCTTAATCAATTGTCATTTTTATTTTGTGATAAAGGTTATAAAATTTGAAAAGATCCTATATTTTGCGTACGATTTTGAATACATGATCGTACATCGTACTAGGGCAAAAACGATCGTATGAATACGATTTAATCGTACGGTTGGCAACATTAGAGAAATAAATATTGTGACACTGACTTTTTTTGTTTATTAAGGCATTCAAATGTATTAGACTATACAGTCTAGTCTAACATCCTATAAAAGTCTAAGCCTAATCTAACATGTATATTGTTCATATATTTCTTTTCATTTAGCTAATGCGTCACATTGCGAAGTTTGGAAAAATTTGACGACAGCTTAAGCCAGCAGCTAGTTGATGACAATGTTATATAAAGACACCTAGGCAGAACTTTAGCGCTATATCACCATAAGGGTACTTGTTTTATCGTTTCCAATAATAGTTCACATGCACAATGATATACATACATGCAAATAATAATTTACCGATACAGTATAACACTCATTTGAAACTGCCTCTCTCTCAAATTCAACTCAATTAATAAAAACATAATATATTATATAATCAATTTTGTTTTTAGTAAGTTTTAAATGTATATATAAGTAACAATAACAGAGGTACATGCGAAGTGTCGCTGGGTGGTTGCGCATGCACAAACTTGCTCTCAATGGGCACCGCAGCCCCACTCCACGCATTATCTTGCTTACAGTCCGTTAAGTAGGAAAAGAACAGCGTGACAGTTTATGCTATTCCTCCCATCACTTGTATATAAGGTACTCTTAATTTCGCCCATTTTCATTATATCGCCAATTTGGTCGATAAACTTTCGCCTAGGGCGTCCCTTCCCGACTCTGCCGTTCATTTCTGCAACATAAATTTGCTTTGTCACTCTTACCTCATTCATTCTTTCTACATGACCAAACCACCGAAGCATTCCTTTTTTAATCCTGGTCACGACATCATCTTGCAAACCACACTCTTCTCTTATCAAACAATTTCTTAAGCTGTCATTCAAATTCATCCCTGACATACACCTTAATGACTGCATTTCTACAGCATTTATTCTACTCTCGTGCTTCTTCGCCACACCCAACTTTCATTACCATGCATTAAAGTAGGGACTAACACAGCATTGTGAATTGCCATACGTGTGATTTTGGACACATTCTTCTCCCACAATAGAGTGTAGAGCCCCATTCACTCTATTTCCTGCGTTCACTCGTCGTTCATTATCCTTATCACATCTACCAAACCCTGCTAAATACACAGCCTAAATATACAAACTCATCTACATGCTCGACCAACTCCCCTTGTATTTTTATTTCACATATCGTTTTACTTTCTTCTGTTTCAAAAACCATCATATTCTTCTTACTTGCGTTCACTTTCATTCCCTCTTCTTTTAATGACCTGTTCATTAATGTAACCATCATTTGCAACTCGGCCGTCGACGATGCAAATATAACTTGATCATCGGCGTACAAAAGGCATTTGACGGTTAATTCACTCATTCCTAACTCGCATTCTTCAACTTTCAAATTTTCTAAACAACTGTTCATAAATAAGTTAAACAGCCACGGGGAAGCCACACAGCCCTGTCTGAGACCTTTATGGATGCTAAACCAGTCCGAGTGAGCCCCGTTGATCCTGTCACAAGCACTAGAGTCCATATACAGAGACTTCAATGCCTGTATCAACTCAGCGCTCAACCCATATGAGTTCAGTGTTTGTCATAACACATCCCTATCCACTCTGTCATAAGCCTTTTCCAAGTCCACGAACGCACAAAAAACTTTTTGGTTTTTTGGTCAAAAACTTCTCCGCGACCATGGGCATGGAAAAGACCTGTCCGTCTATGTCTCTGTCTATTTCCTCTTCGGAATTTCTATTTCATTTAATTCAAACGTCTCATTGCTCATAAACACGCTTTCAAAGTATTCCTTACATCTCCTTAAACTCGAAACTTCGTCATTCAGAATACAGCCATTCTGGTCTCGTATAGCATTCATTCTAGGCTGTTTTGAATGTCCCCTGGCAGTTCTTACGAGTTTCCAGAACATTTTAATGTTTTAATATATAATTAAATATATTTTTAATGTTTTAATAATAATTTAAAATACCTAACATTTATAACCAACGACCCGCTCTGGCTTCTTCTGGACGAGATCTATTAATTTGGCGTTGTGTAGACTTAAGATAATCATTAAAGTCCATTTATTTTATCTTATCAATATTTCTATTTTAATAAAATCTCTAAAGTTTTCTCATAAAATGTAATCTAGATTATTACTCCTGGTATTACTTTCTATTTGTTCATGAACTTTTATTCGGTTTTATTACAATCAATTCAGCCATTCTGCAGATTATCTCGGACATACAGACAAAAGAAGTTTTTAAAAATGATTAGTCATGTCTGAATGTCATCTAAATATTTTGTACAAAAATATTAAGAAACAAAATTAACAATTATTATGAAGAAAACCCTCAGAACGCACCGTAGCTCACAAATTTGCAAAACCGGACTTAATTTTTTTTGTAGCTTAAGGGAATTTGTTATCATTTAGTCAAATGACAAGTTGGACTGAAGATATAGTACGTACCGAAAAACGCATATCGCAACGTATTTTTTGCAGTCTTTACCGGCAGTTGTGAATTTAGATAGCGACAGTGTGTGAGCGAGAGGTGAACAGAGGCAACGTCATTTTCAATCCCATTCTTTAACCGCACGGCTTTACTAGAATTATTTTGTCCGTGCTGTTTAGGTCATAAATCATCGAAGTATTTTACTCGCTCTCCCACTCACGGACCTTATGGGCATTATTGTTCTCGATAAGTGTTATCGATAGTGTATTTAGTTTTGTCATTATGTGGGTTAGTGATAAAAATGAAAAAAAATATATAGATAAAACAACGTATTTATTAAAATAACAATAATAATGATTTAAAATAAATTATTAATTAGGTATCTATGAATTAAAAAAAACTATAGGTACAAATGTTTGGAATTTTTTTTTTCTCTTTATTTGGTCTACAAAACAGAACACAATTTCAACGTGCTGACAGGTATTATACAAAACAAAGATTTCAAAAATTGTATCCTAATATATATATGTAGACATAGCTTGCACAAAATGTACAACAATAAAGTTTTGTACTTAAAGTTATGTTATATTCATGCTAAACCAAATACCAAATTAAAGTAAATTAAATTAAGACTAAATTAAATTAAGGCTAAATTAAATTACGTACTTGGAATAAAGATACTGTAATAATTTGTTTTTTGCGGAGGCCACTGAACCCATGAAAACATCCACTTCAGATCGAACAATGTTACTGGATGAACACATGCGGTATAATGGCGAATGTTGTCCAAGAACGGTTCTACAAAGTGGAAGACTAAATGTTTTACGATTATGAAGGCGACTATTAGCACGAGGTATTAAGAATTTGTTCTCGGCATAGCTAAGGACATACAAAAATGTTTTTGAACACGCTCTATTCGCTCAGAGTGGATGGTATAAATAGGATTCCAAACAAAACTGCAGTACTCCAAATGGCTTCTAACAAGAGAATTGTAAATAGTTATGGTTAGTCCACTGTTTTTAAAAATATTCATTTGCCAACATATAAAGCCTGAGAGTTTTGAAGATTTTTTGATTATGTAATCAAAATTCTCCGATCACACTCTTAATCTCTTGGCTGTTACACGGGAGATGAAGCTACATTCTTCAACAGATTTGACAGCATACAGTCAACTGAACAGACAGATCTCCAAATGCATGCGGCGGGACTTACGCAACTTCAATACAGCTTGTATTGAAGAAGCGATCGAGCGGAACGAAGGCTCCAAATTCTTTGCCAGATATCTGTCTGCCAGAAAGAGCCAACTGTCAAAGCTGAAAACCGAGTGTGGCAGCATCGTTTCCGGGGCACCTGAGATTTTGAGTGAGATTGAGAGGTTCTATGGGCAGCTGTACACGTCATCATTGGAGCCACACGCAAGTGTGAGTAAGGATCCAAGAGCGAGTCTTATCCGACACTATTCCGAAGATATCCCGGACGTCAGTCTGAGCGAGATTAGAATGGCTCTCCAGCATCTTAAAAACGGCAAGGCCCCAGGGGAGGATGGAATTACAGCGGAGCTTCTGAAAGCGGGTGGAAAACCGGTACTTGAAGTCCTTCAGAAGCTCTTTAATT